TTAAGTATTTCGTCTTTTTGTTGTTGGTGTTGTTTTTATGGAAATGGACATATGATAATATGATTTTTGTGAATTCCAAGAACTTATTATTTGACACGCAATTGTTTACATATTTATGTAGAATTATAAACGGACTTTTCTCTACGTTAAGATATAATGAAGGATCCGGTAAGAGGGCCGAAAGCTCGCAATCATTATATCTTAACGTAGAGAAAAGTCCGTTTATAATTCTGCTCTGTGCCCATCGCTGGGATCGAAACCCGAATATTAACATAATAAGTCTTCAAACTTACCACTGAGTCTTCGAGGTAGCTTCATAACACTCATTATGTCAGTAATAAAATGGCTAAAATTTTTATTGTTTAAAGACTTCAGTCGGTACAACGAATTTTTTTTATATAAATTAGTTACCTTACTAACAGTTCACTCTCCGCCTTTGTATATATATATGTATATATGAAGGTAAAAAAATTAATATAACTTTTTTCGTCGAAGCTGAATTTGGACAGTGTGGTGTACGTTTGTACTTTCTTTCATACAAATCTGAGCTAAACTCAAGACGTTTCTAGTTTGTAATAATACTAACTGCTTTAAACTTACAGCATTAGACATTTTTAGGCCTGTTTTAAAAATACTCCATTTTTTTTTCTTCGTTATTTTAAGTAAAGTGGTTGAGATTTTTAGCATATTCTATAATAACACTAATTGCTGATAGCATTTTTGCTATAAAATATTTATATTTACCTCAAGCGTTTTGTCTATTCGTAATATATCAAATCTTTATTTTTTGTTAAAATACAAGTATGTCATTTTAATTTTGTTTTATAATAGCCCTTAATTCTACATAATTAACTGAAAGCGTCTTCCGTTTCCATTTTAAGCACTATTAAACTTTCAACACAACTGATACGATTTATGAATCATATTTAAAATTTCTCATACATTTATTGATTAATTTCGATCTGGTGAAACTATTACTATTATTATCTTTGGGAAGGAGATTCCTAATAAAATCAAAAATTGTTATTCCCTGCCTAGAGTTTAACTGTAGTAACCAGTAAATATCGAATAAATCAAGAATATATGACCTTAGTACTATTAATCATCAACAGAATGGTAAAACGTTTTCATTCTTTGACATGCAATTGTTTATATATTTATGTAGAATTATAAACGGACTTTTCTCTACGTTAAGATAATTTTATTGCGAGCTGTCAGTCCTCTTACCGGATCTTTCATTTTATTTCAACGTAGAGAAAAGTCGGTTTATAATTCTACATATTGATTTACCTACGTTATGAGTCTTATACAACAATTGTTTATATATATCTGTATTTTTTAATCAGTAGATTTTAAAATAACACCACTAATGTTGTGCTTTATACGTGTAAGTAGAATCTACTTTAATGTCATCATTGTTGTGAAATGCGATAACAGAAATATGTATAGGTTGAATGAATTAAGACAGTTAGTACATACAATTGTATAAATAAGGAATACTATCATAATATTGTAAACTCTTTCTGATTAGCTGAACCTTTCTAACATGTTTATTTGGCAGACTTTTTAATTACGGTCCCAGATTAATATCCGAAATTTCTGGAATGTCATTCATAACATCAGTAAAGATGTGTCAACCTTGTTTGTTGGAGAATGTATTTTTTTTAATATTAACTTAAAGATATTTCTTTGTTCACTCAGAACAGGTATTTTACATCAAAAACATCCTAGTTCTTGTTGGTTCCTCCAGATACAAGAATATCTTCAAGTTCCAATTTTGTGGATATTTCTGATTTCTGTTTAACCATCTTCTAATGATTCACTTGACGATGGTCATATTGGACCAGTAACCCAGTTTTGCTAGCTATAAACTGGGATGATAACATTTAAGACATAGATAACTCTAAAAAGTTTTGCTTTTCTCGGGGTATGTTTTAATATTGTTTTTTTACGTGTTAACGTACTTAAAACAATTGTTCACTGACATACATAAGCAATGACGTTGGTCTGCTTATCAGGATTTTATTTCATTTTAATAAAATAATAAATCATACTTTAAAAGAGTAGAGTGATCACATAGAATCTTTTTCCTTTGTTCAGAAATGTTTCTATAAAGCATGTAAACTTTAATTAAACCAGAGCAACAAAACAAAGGGACAAACAGAAACATCTCGTTCAAACATTAAACCAAATGAAAAAATGTCTTCTCGCCACTAAACGTCTTCGTGAATAAATGATGAAAAACATTTATTTTAGCTTCACAATCGTGTTCAATAAAGACAAGGAAAACATGTAATTTAAAAGTAGAGTATATATCACAATTCAATACATCCAAGAATCCAAAGATTTTTAGAAAATAGTCCTTCCTTTTGTAGTGGTCAGTTAGTCCACTCGTAACAAAATGGAGAGGTCAGCCTTCGTAAAACGATCGGATTATCAGGTTTTCATACGTTGTAGCAAATTTTGATACACTGTTGGAACTTCGAAAAAATTATATTGGTTGAAAACTGGATTGTTGATATATAGATAATGTTAGCATTCACTCAAATACAAACACACACACGCACACATATATATATATATATATATAATATTTAGAGGGTGAGAGAAGTAGTCA